AGAAAATTGCAAAATTAGTATATCTAGATCTACGTAATTTCTGTGGCAAAATATTGGGGAGAGATGAGGGAAACGTAGCTTCTGTAAGAACATCCGAGCAAAGAAATGAATGGAGAACCATGATCGCTGATGTCTGTCGCAGATCTGGCTCTGGATGATGATGATGATGATGATGATGATGATGATGATGATGATGATGATGATGATGATGATGATGATGATGACTCCCTTTTAACACCTTTAATCGTCAGCACTTATGTAATTTGTGAGCATTCTCGCCCGTCTCAGAGATTTGTCATAAGTAGATGCAGCATTAGGTCGTTATTCTTTGCCCCATTGGAAACTCTAAAAGAATTTAAACGATCGCACAAAACACAGGCCACATCATTAGCTTAGTGAGGGTGGTTAGTGGGTGCTCTGATGGGATTTGCTCCTTTTTTCCTATCAAACATGTGTAGTACTTATCTCTCCTCCTCCTTTTTTGTGTATTTTACTCTTTTAAGTCCAACAGTTTAAATATCTAGGATATATAATAACATCTGATGCCAAATGTTCCACAGAGATATCTCTGAGAATTGCAATGGCTAAGGCTGGTTTCAATAAAATGAGTCAAATCCTGAAAAAATAGAAACATCTAGTGCCCACGTGGGACGCTCACTGTTAAAAACAATCAGGCAACGACAAATGCAGTTTTTGGGACACCTGAGTAGACATACAAGTCTTGAACATCTAGCTCTCACTGCCAAAACTGAAGGCAAACGAGGCAGGGGCAGGCCCAAAGCAACCTACTAAGGGAACTTTAAAAAATGGGTAACTGGGAAAGATCAGGGAAATATAGCTTTTGTAAGAGCATCCGAGCAAAGAAATGAATGGAGAACCATGATAGCCGATGTCTGTCTCAGATCTGGCTCTGGATGATGATGATGATGATTGATGATGAATCGCTTTTAACACCTTTAATCATCAGCACTTATATAACTTAATTGTGTTGCAGGTGCCGTAAAAAGCTTGCTAAACAAAACAATAAGAATTATATCAGCTGATGTGCTGTTGGATCACTATGTGCACGACACTGGTCGAATTTGAGCGGGTTTTTCTTGACTTTGGATTGTGTGAGACTCTCCTACAACACTGATTCGGCCTTATTGGAGACAGATGTAAAATCTCGGCTAACATTTATATTGTTAATATTATTGCTATTTTTATTATTATCATCTCATCATCATCATCATCATCATCATCATCATCATCATCATCATCATCATCATCATTATTATTATTATTATTATTATTATTATTAATGTCATTTTATATTTCTATTATTACTATTATTATTATTGCAGTGAAAGAAGTATTAAAACAATGTTCTCAAATAACTGGGACATCTAAGAGACAATATTTCTACCACATTAGATTCTGACTCTCTGTTTCAAATTCACTCAAATAATTATCAGCAAGGGCTGGAATGATGCCCTGCTTTGATATGTTATTTTGTGGGGTGTCCGTGTGTTATCTCTGTGTTATCAGCTAGCTGTCTTTTCCCATGAATGAATTATACTTTAAGTCAACAACATGTAACGCATAAAAAAGGCTTCGAGAGAGATAAAGGAGAATTTACCAATACCCTTCTTGTTCCGTTTAGCGGTTGTTGAGTGGGACAAAGAAAATGTTCACAAATGCCACTCAGAGATTCCCAAAAAATAGTCCCAACCTTAAAAAAATGCCGCCCCCCCCCCCTCTCCCCCCAATCCGCCCAAATATTTTTCTTTTCTGAAAGACATAACTAAGTTCTCTTACAATTTTTGCAGCTGTCAATAATACATGCATTTCGTATTCGCGTTAAAGATAAGTAAAAAAGTACACGACACTCGCTTTACAATGACTGCCGACTGCACGGATTGGATTTACGGCAGGTAAAAACAGAACTACAAAGTAACATCTGTGCTTTTATTGGTGAAGAAATTGCAGGTACAATAAAATGGACACGTTGAATAACGTCAACCAGCTTTGAATATGAAATTAAGAGTAGATCTAGATTTCTTTTCCTTTTTTTTTTTTTTACTGTGATGGGGAGTGATCATTTTCACTCTCAAAACAATTTTTTCGGCCAGTGACAAAAACATGATATTTTATTATGTCTTTAGGAGTGTAATAAAACAACAAAAACAACATTAATTTATCTGTTTTTCCTTTGCCCTATCCGTACGTCGTGTCTTACTATCGTATCCATACGACGTGGGGAACTCTGTGCCACCACTTTCCAAAGAGGAAATTTACTCGTTAATCCGAGCCGTGCACTTTGCATAGCAGTCTGTCAAAATGGTTTTTTGAGAAATACTGGAAGTTTTAAAGAGATTTTCTTAGTAAAAGTATTCTAAAGTGTAAAAAATACATCCCCGGGGGCAAAATTTTAAAAATGACCCCAGGGCGTACGGATAAGGTTAAACACTCCATGGATCCCCATTGGCGTGACGTCTCAAGTTTCATCGCTTCCACCATCTTTCCATGATTCCTCGTTTGTACGGCATTGCAGTTAAGACTAGATATCCCCTCTGCGAAGATCACTTAGACCAATCTGTCATTCTCAGAATCACGAGTGTTTATGCGAATATTGTTAGTCTGGCACTGAGATGTGAGATTAAAGCGATACCGTCTGCCTTTATAATACTTTGATTCTCATTCCCCTATTCTTGGCGACTGTCGTGACAGGTTTCACAAATTTAATTTGGTCTTGCTGAATTGTTCAGATTTGCGTCAATAGTATTAAAACATTTGGACTCTTGTTGATAAGGGGAGAGAAAAATTGATATTATAACGAGCCGACGCCTGATACACAATGGAGTGTGTG